TTAGTGCCCAGGGACTTGTGTAGACTCCGCCAAAAAGTCGAGGTGAAACGCGGGTCTCGATCGGACACTATGGATACCGGTATACCATGTAGCCTGACAATTTCCTATAAATAGAGTTCCGCCCATTTTTCTACTATATACGTGGCATTGCCGGGAATAAAGTGAGCAGACTTGGTTAAACGATCTACCACTACCCAAATCACAGTGAATCCCTTAACCATCATTGGTAGTCCTGTAATGAAGTCCATAGCCACATCGTCCCACTTCCAAACTGGTATGCTCAAAGGTTGCAGCAATCCAGCAGGTCTCTGTCTTGAAGCCTTTACCTGTTGGCAAGTCAAACACTTGATAACAAACTGAGCTATTTCCCTCTTCATGTTATGCCACCAGTACTGTTTCTTGAGGTCTTAGTACATTTTGGTACTTCCTGGATGGACCGAGTAGGGAGTATTGTGTGCCTCTCCCAGTAAGTCATTCCTCAAAGAATAATCTTTTGGCACACACAACCTTCCGCGAAAAAGCAAAGCTGTCTCACCCGAGAGAGTGAAATCACCATGGCCCACCATACTAAAGCCTTTGGCCAAGCTAGGGTCTTCCTTTTGGGCAACAATGATCCTCTGTCTCAGGCTAGGTTCCACTGAGAGTCGAGCCAACAACGCGAAGACATCATCCAACGTCAGCTCCACCTCCAAGCGTTCCAACTCGCTGTGTATTGGACTGCAGACCATTACAAGAGATGCCACACTCTTCTACTAAGAGCATCGGCCACCACATTTGCTTTACCTAGATGGTAACTAATCTCACAATCATAATCCTTCACTAACTCTAGCCACCGTCTCTGTCTTAAATTAAACTCCTTCTGAGTGAAAAGGTACTTCAAACTCTGATGATCCGTGAAGACCTGAATTCTTTCTCCGTAAAGGTAGTGTCTCCACAACTTTAAGGCGAAGACAACTGCTGCTAGTTCTAAGTCGTGCGTGGGGTAGTTAAGCTCGTGCACCTTCAGTTTTTGAGATATGCAATTTTAACAAAGTAAGATAAAATAAATTCTAAGGCAAACAAGAGAAATTTAAAGCAAACAATCAAATTTTAAGATTAATTGCAAAAAAAAATAAGATAGAGGGTTAGAGAAATTTGACACCGGGAATTTTTATAGTGGTTCGGCACAACTGTCCTACTCCACTCCCCAACCACCTCTTGGGTTGTAAATTGAAATTCTGACTCTTTCCACGGTAGGAGTCAAACCGATACACTGCTCTTCACAAGAGCAAAGACGATCCTCTCCACGGTGAGGATCACACTGTTACAATGAGTTGAAGATTTTGAAACACACACTTACAAACTCTCAAATAAAGTAAATATACAAATTTGAGCTCACAAAAATTTCAATCCTCACAACAATAAAATTTCTCTCACAAACAAGATGGAAAGAAAAATTAAGAACTTGGAGAGATTAGCAAAATGAAAATTTTGAAGTTATGGAGGATTGAGAATAAGAGAATTGTTGTATAATTTTGAATGAGAAGTTTAGTTTAAATAGAGGGAAGAAAATGGTAAAAAAATCAAGTTTAATTTTAAACCATTAGATCTTAATCATTAAGAATGAAGGGTTGGGATAAAAAAAATAAATTAAGAATAATATATATATATATATATATATATATATATAATAATGATAAAATAAAATAAAATAAAATAAATAAATAAATAAATATATATATATATATATATATAAAACAAAGATGTGACAGTTGAAGTGACAAGTTTTTTTTAATTATATATATATATATATAATAATAATAATAATAATAATAATAATAATAATAATATATATGTGAGAAAACGGTAAACTTTTCAAAATTTTTTATTTTTTTTTAAATACTAACACTGTATTTAATGTGAAGTGATTAATTTTTTTTTTAACAAAGATACCAACGGTAACTTTTGATTTTTTTTATCTTTTTCTTTTCTTTTTCAATATATATATATTTTAAAAAGAAGCTTGTCATTTGTTAGCTTACGAACCGTCCACATCATCTTCTCGGGTATTTTTCCTTCCAATTTGTTTCGATCGTAACTTCTCCGTTTGAGCTCCGATTTGGACGATCTAATAGTGGTTGGAATCGTTGTAACGAGCTCTACACTGTGGACACTTTAAAATACAAAAAATGTCAATCAATAAAATTAAGTTTGTTATCATCAAAACATTAATTAATTAATTAATTAAAATTAATTAATTTGAGATTAAGACCAAAAAGCCAACAATCTTCCCCTTTTTGATCAAGAGAAAGAAACAATTTCATCAAGAATTTCTCCAACCAAAAAGAGTCAAAAAGTGAAAAGAGCAAAAAGGATGAGGTAATTTGTTATGAGTGCAAAAAACCGGGTCATATTAGAACCGATTGTCCTCTTCTTAAATCATCCAAGAAATCCAAGAAGAAAGCAATGAAGGCTACTTGGGATGATAGTGATGAAAGTGGAAGTGAAAGTGAGAATGAAGAAGTGGCCAACTTTTGCTTCATGGCTCATAGTGACAAGGAGGATGAACAAGATGATGAGGTAACTCTTGATCCCCTTTCTTATGATGAGTTGTTTGAAGCTTTTGAGAATATGCAAAATGATTTAGAAAAGCTTGGTTCTAAATATGTTATGCTTAAAAAGAAATACAATGTCTTAACTAGTGAAAATAAGCCTTTACTTGATGATATTGCTTGCTTAAAGAAAAATGAGCATGATGTTGTAAATATCTCTTGTGATAAGCATGTTCTTGATTGTGATGAGAAAAATGCATTACTTGATAAAATTAGATTTCTTGAGCATGATGGTTGTGAAAAAGATAATTTGATTAAATTGCTTAAGAAAAATGAATCAAATGCTTTAGTGGAACTTGATAAGGCTAAAGATTCTATTAAAAAATTAACAATAGGTGCTCAAAGGTTGGACARGATTATTGAAGTAGGTAAACCTTATGGTGATAAAAGAGGTTTAGGCTATATTGATGAATGCTYTACTCCCTCAAGTTCTAAAACTATCTTTGTTAAAGCATCTCCTAACATGCCTAAGCTTGTTGCTCCTAAAGTTGTATCTAAACATACTAAAATTAACTTTGTACCTATATGTCATTATTGTGGTGTTGAAGGTCATATAAGACCTAAGTGCTTTAAATTAAAATATGCTCAAACTACTAGAAGAAATTTTTCTCAAAGAGMAARGTTTCACAATGCTCYAAGAAAAATTTTCTCCAAGAAAAGTAAAATGCATAAATTTGTTGTAAAAGATAATTCATTGCATAATGTYGTTTRTTTTTCATGTGGCAAGTATGGACATAAATYTTATTCTTGTTACTTGTCTAAATCTTATKCTTTCAATAAAAATGCAAAAATGAAATGGATCCCCAAGTTTGTTAATGCTAACCTTCTAGGACCCAAACAAGTATGGGTACCAAAGGATCAAATTTAAATTTTTGTGTTTGTAGGTTTGTTTGAAAGCTTCCAAGAAAAGTAAGTGGTACTTGGATAGTGGTTGCTCAAGGCACCTGACAGGAGACCAATCCAAGTTTGTCATGGAGGAGAATTTGATAGTAATGCTTTTGAAAATTTTTGTGAAGAAAATGGATTTTCTCATAACATCTCCGCTCCAAGAACTCCTCAACAAAACGGTGTGGTTGAAAGGAAAAATCATACTTTGCAAGAATTTGCTAGGTCAATGTTACATGAGTATGATTTACCTTCTTATTTTTGGGCGGAGGCCGTTAATACCGCTTGTTATGTTTTAAATAGAGTTTTAATTAGACCTTCTTTAGATAAAACTCCTTATGAACTTTGGCATAACAAAATTCCAAATATTGGGTATTTCAAAGTTTTTGGTTGCAAATGTTTCATTTTGAATAACAAAGAAAAGCTTGGAAAATTTGATTCTAAGACGGATGTTGGTATTTTCCTTGGTTATTCCTCTACTAGTAAAGCTTATAGAGTTTTCAATAAAAGAACTTTGATAGTTGAGGAATCTATGCATCTATTTGATGAATCTTGCAATGTTGTTTCTAATCATTCTTTTTGTAGTGATTCTTTAGAAAGAAATTTTGGAGATTTACTTGTTAGTGACAAAAACAAAGAGATTGCTTCAAGTAAGCAAGAAGTGAGCATCAACGAAAATAAGGTGGACAATTTTTCATCCATGCCTAAGGAGTGGAAGTATGCTACATCCCATCCTAAGGATCTAATTCTTGGTGATCCCGAACAAGGTGTGAAAACTCGTTCTTCCCTTAATATGTTTAATAACATTGCTTTTGTTTCTTAAATTGAACCAAAAAATTTTAAAGATGCCGAAAGTGATGAATTTTGGATTTTAGCTATGCAAGAAGAATTAAATCAATTTGAAAGAAATAAAGTTTGGGAATTAGTCCCTAGGCCTTCTAATRCTTCTATAATTGGRACKAAATGGGTCTTTAGAAATAAAATGGATGAAAATGGAAATATCATTAGAAATAAAGCTAGACTTGTAGCTCAAGGTTATTGTCAAGAAGAAGGAATAGATTATGAGGAAACTTTTGCACSCGTTGCTAGATTAGAAGCCATTAGAATGTTACTTGCTTTTGCTTCTTATWAGAATTTTATTTTGTAYCAAATRGATGTGAAAAGTGCTTTTTTAAATGGTTATATTATGGAAGAAGTTTATGTGGAACAACCTCCGGGATTTGAAAGTTTTGATTTTCCAAATCATGTTTTTAAGTTGAAAAATGCTCTTTATGGTTTAAAACAAGCTCCAAGAGCTTGGTATGAGAGACTTAGTAATTTTCTTATTGAGAATGGTTTTAAAATGGGTAAANGAGTTGAAGATTTTGAAACACACACTTACAAACTCTCAAATAAAGTAAATATACAAATTTGAGCTCACAAAAATTTCAATCCTCACAACAATAAAATTTCTCTCACAAACAAGATGGAAAGAAAAATTAAGAACTTGGAGAGATTAGCAAAATGAAAATTTTGAAGTTATGGAGGATTGAGAATAAGAGAATTGTTGTATAATTTTGAATGAGAAGTTTAGTTTAAATAGAGGGAAGAAAATGGTAAAAAAATCAAGTTTAATTTTAAACCATTAGATCTTAATCATTAAGAATGAAGGGTTGGGATAAAAAAAATAAATTAAGAATAATATATATATATATATATATATATATATATAATAATGATAAAATAAAATAAAATAAAATAAATAAATAAATAAATATATATATATATATATATATAAAACAAAGATGTGACAGTTGAAGTGACAAGTTTTTTTTAATTATATATATATATATATAATAATAATAATAATAATAATAATAATAATAATAATATATATGTGAGAAAACGGTAAACTTTTCAAAATTTTTTATTTTTTTTTAAATACTAACACTGTATTTAATGTGAAGTGATTAATTTTTTTTTTAACAAAGATACCAACGGTAACTTTTGATTTTTTTTATCTTTTTCTTTTCTTTTTCAATATATATATATTTTAAAAAGAAGCTTGTCATTTGTTAGCTTACGAACCGTCCACATCATCTTCTCGGGTATTTTTCCTTCCAATTTGTTTCGATCGTAACTTCTCCGTTTGAGCTCCGATTTGGACGATCTAATAGTGGTTGGAATCGTTGTAACGAGCTCTACACTGTGGACACTTTAAAATACAAAAAATGTCAATCAATAAAATTAAGTTTGTTATCATCAAAACATTA